TGAATGGACCAATAGGAAGAGGGAGGGGGAAATTGACTATGAAAATTGGTGTGCATTAAGGTGTGGGATAATGAAAAACAGTAAATTGTGAATATCTTGACAGATCTAGTCTTGGGGATGCGGAATTTACCAAGTGCGCGTCCGTTAAGATGTTTTCACTTTGCCCACCTTAACATGCACAAATGAGCTTTCGAATATGTCAAGCACACCAACGTGTTAGATTTAGTCATAAATTTGAATACGCTGAATGCAAATTATACCATGCTGCAAAATGAGACTGAGGAATGAATAACAAAATTTAACGTGTAATTCCGTAACAGAGTTTTATGGGGGGTTTGACGAAGTGCTACTGATATAGAAGTGCTTTCGCACATATTTAGCTAGTTTCAGCCACATTTGACACTACAAAACGATTGGTTTTAAGAAGGATCCAAATACCAAGCATCCACGAATCAGGGGCAAATCTTATCAGAAACAGGCACGCATTTGGAGATAGGAACAATATGTATTTCCTCAGTCAGACTATGTCAGCATAAATTTCCGTCATCTTTATTTTGCAGTTATGATGATAACAGTTACTACAGCTATGTGGAGGCTGTAAGCTGAGTGGGTGAAAAGCCAACACTTCTGCTAGAGTTATGCAGTAGACGGTGGACCTAATGATAAGCCACCTGTTAAGTTTGACTTGTAACCAGAATCACCCGCTCATGTAATCGATACCCCAGATCACTTGGCTATCGCTAGACACGACCTTCCTAGTTCAGGCTTTTACTGTCTCAACCAGAGGTCGAGTGATGTCCGAATGTGCCCACTTATTTAAATCGTGAATGACATTGACCTGATGGTTCAAGGTGGATTAACACAGATAAAGCGGTCAGTGGGATGCCAGGGGTAACTGAACCACCTACGTGGTTAGGGGAGTTGCATACACCATAACGAAATCGAAATTGGAGATGAGGCTTTTTGGAGAATGCTGAACCCCCAACACCACCACACAACCAAAAAGACTATAAAACCAAGGCAACTATGTAACACGATGCTGAGGACCACAGACACAGTGATTGGCCAGGGCAGCTGATGGCGACAGAGGAGAGGCAAACCACACCTATTATCTTCGAGATTAAAAAAAATGCTCAACAGTGAAGGGAATTTGGCAACCTCCCGGGAACTGTGACAAGTAAGGGGTTGCCAGAAAGGAATTCTAATTCAGTACCCAAACATTGAGCTTGGAAATAATTCAAGAAACTAAGTTATGCAAGATACTTTGAAAACTGGATCTAAAAAAAGATGGCCAATGTTTATTTAAACGAGTCAATATGGCGATTAGTTGGCTTTGACAGAATGGGTGTGAGTTTTCCCAGAGGCTAGGTACCTGTCCGGTATTGCAGGTCTGGGATTCACGCTTCATATATACTAGCAGATTTAAGGCTTTCACAATGTTTAGTAAATTCCACAAAGATAAGGACTACAAATGGTAGTTCGACCATCCTAGAAACCCATCAAAGCGGCTTTTATTGCGTGCAAAAGTCAAAACAAGACAATTTCAGCAGGTTTATCTGATTAAGGGCTTCCAGAAACTGCATTAGCAGCAAAGTGGGATTATTTCAGTGTGTAGTCAACATAATTCGGGACAATCTAGACTCAACAAATGCACATTCAGCATTTCAATTTATGTGGAAGTCTGACATCCGGATATTTGCATATTAGGAATTTAACAGGATAATAGTAATGATTAACTCGAGCTTCTGATTGAATTTGCCGAAATTACCCGTAGACACAAAATTACTTGTATGTGGTTATTTATTTTTTCCACTGGATCCGACACGGGTCGTGGTTTCCTGCCGATTCCCACGAGAACGATGTCATAAATGCAAATGCAGCCGCCCTACCCAGTTATTTGAAGTTCACAATGCAGCGATCAATGCATCAACACCCTTACCAGACGTGAGAGAAAATGCATTCAATCGATTACTTTGAATTTACTTCACGTAGCCTCGTTGGCTCACCGATCGATCGTCAAGCATTCTTGTTTACGCAGACGCCAAGTCATGCAAAGGTACCGTTCTGCTAATTTCGCAATAAACGGTTGAGGACGCGTCTTTTCAGTTTCATTTCTTCCTTGGTAGCTTTGTGCTGTATCTTCCCACAACAAACTGGTGACCCTGGGATGGAAAATCAGTAGTAGTTGTAGTAGTAGCAGCAGCCATCGTTTACTCATGAAGGCATTAGCTTAAACTTGCCTCCATTCTGGCCAAACTCCACTGATTCTTGTTTCTCAGTTTTGGGACTACTATTCCATGGAGATAACACGGTCAGAGATTATGTAAAATAGTCCGTGCTGACAAGTGAGCTGGCCAATGAGGTATCAGATGTTCTGCTTCACTCTGATAACGAGTCCCCTTACGACCAGCTGAAATACGCAATTCCGAAACGCACACAACTCACCGCTCCAGAAAGCATCCAAAATGGCAGATCTTAAACCGACCCAAATGCTGCAGACTACGCGTCAACTTTCCAACGTGAAACCCATTGCAAGGCGATAATTTGGAGTGAGTTTTCTCAAACGACGTCCTAGTAACATCCGACTTATTCTAGCCCACAAGGTTGAAGCGTCAACTCTGGAACAGTTGGCAGATACAGCATGCCTAATTCTAGAAAGAACCAAATCAGCGCATATCTCCACAATTAACCCAGCACTCGAAAGATGATCAAATTCCCCCTCACACGTGAACGCATACATACCCTCCGACTCCTGAGAGCGCCGACTAGATCAGGTTGAAGCAGTAATCGATGCCTTGACAATTAAGTGCTTCCGAGGCAGAACATACAACAATCCATCAAGGCGGAACCTCCCCACAGGTCCTCACACTCCTCGCCTCGGGGTTTGTGTTAATATCATCAAATCTTCGGGGGTGCGGCTAGGTAATGCAAGGCACCGCACACAGATTCAAACCTGCCCATTCAATCGAGAAACAAGTGCACCCGGAAGTAGTGGCACCAACTACTCATGGACACGAGCATCACCGGCTTTTCCTACTCGACACATTAGCCGATCGGCTCAGGTACTGACATACCAGTTGTTCCACCAACGAAGTCCAGAAATCGGTCCCCCAGCCCCTTCCGTGCCTCCCCAGAAGCCAATGTTTCCACTGTTCCCACCTAGGGACACAAATCCCTTCATCTTGACCTCAGACTCCGACGCCAGTTTCGTCGGATTTTCACGATCACGAAGGTAATCCATCGAATCACAGGCACTGACTTTCTACAACATTTTTATAGACTCGGTGCCCTGAAGAACCAGCGTCCAATCGACCTCCTAACAAGCCTTACCATCAGGAGCATTTTGAAACAGTCAACTATTTCCGAACCTACAACAGTAGAGACAGATAGCGGACCTTAATTGGCCTTACTGCTGAAATACCCAGACGCCATTAACCCAACGCACAGGCAGACTTTAATCCGGAAACTGTTTCATGCACAATCATGCCAATAAACTTTTGAGAATCCGTCCTTTCAGTCTCGTTTCCTACTTGGGCACTTTTTGAATTCGCGATATTTTATTATCCTTGTAAGTTAAATTGGCGTTGGGGGGTCCCACAAGCCGGCACCTACCAGATCCTCTTTACTACACTTTAGTGCTATCTGTCAGAGGTTAATTTATCATGCCAAAAACTCCCAACCATCATTTTAACTGGCGTTTTTTCAAAGCCAAATCAGATTCCGCTACTTTACATCGGTGCTCTTTAACTCACAAATAAGTCCCAAACCAGATTTTAGTTGATGGAAGTTGGTAATGGCGGCCACTTGTTCTGAGCAGAAAAAAAATTAAAATGGGGAAATTTAAGTTAGGGAAGTAATACGGCCACTACAGCATGCTTTAGGCGTTAAGTAGGCTCCCACACCAATCTCTGGCGATTACAAAGTCATGCAACAACGGACGTGGTAGTTGGAAGGTTACACGACCCACAAAGAGAGCCCTCGTCCGTATTTTAGCGGTTACACCAAACGCGTGCGAGGAGAGCCCGTTTTACGTCATTGGTCGCCTCATTGTGCCCGTATACAAAAAATGACGCGCTGTTAAAGGTATGCCTTTAATCGAGATCGTCAGCGGCGCGATGCTTAAACGGATGGGATAACTCAAAGTGAATGCAAAAGCAGAAGCAATGGTGGCAAAAAAAGAACACGATAAAAACTAACAGAAGGAGAAAATGTCGCGAGCGGAATGTCATGCAAAGTAGCCTAAATGCAGTATAGGTAAGGACTAGTATATCGGCTAAATGCGATGCGCAGCACGGGATGCAAAATCGGAGTCACTTCAGATAACCAGCTTTGGGATTGTTTTTTCGCTCGGGGCATACACTGAAAATAAAAATACAAATCACTTCTTACTGAAACATTTAAGTAGCGTCAGCTAAGCAACTTCTGCAATGCGATGCCTGAATCGTGTCGCGTAAAGCAGCTTCTGGCCGATCGCTAGAATGAGTACGCGGCTATAATTAGCGCCGAGTGACACAAACACTATCCACAAAACGCGTTCGGATATTACATTTTTTCCACCGAGCACAATAAAAAACAAGGTGACATCGAACAGGCGGCTACGGTACCTACCAACCACTACAAAAAGCGAAAAACAAGCAACTCTTGAATGAGACCAGACTACAGCAGTTCGCAGTGAGGGGTTGTTTACTCTATTAAAAGAAAGCGTGTCATCGTTCCAGAAACCAAAATATTACGCTCAGTAACCTTGATGTTCCTTTAGGATCTCGTCCGTTCAACTCGAAACCCACCAGAATTAAACACTATGAGTTGCTGTCACGGTCTACAATGAAGACGTCTAAGGTGAGCACTGAACTGGTGGAATGCTATTTCGTGAGAGGCTGGTCAGTAGTGGATTGGTGGCGACTTTTTGAGACCAACCGACCGACCGACCGACTCCTTATGACAGAAATACACTGTGCTGCGCGGTAGGATGGTGGTAGTGTGCACGCTTGCTCAACGTGTTAGCCCTGAGGAGCAGCAAGAGCCAAGTCTACAGAAAGAGCTGTCGGAGAGGACGCACCGTTGAGAATGTAATCGGTGAGGAGGGGCGTGAGGTTGGGATTGTTAGTCAGCATGCACAGCAGGAACTCATTGAAAAGCTCCAGGTGGCCCACCGTCGGACCCTCACAGCCCCCGTCAAAGCTGGACGATCTGTGGTAGGGGATCTTTGTACTCAAGAACTAAAAACACGAAAACACAGTTAAGTTGCTTACTCTGGTGCAGGGCGTGATTTAGCAGACATGCGGAGTAACCGCAACGAGAAATCCCAAAGGTGCCGACTTGTTGACGAAACCCCTGCTTCACAACATTAACACAAGGACATCGCGAATAGACCTTGCAGTTGGAGAGTTCGCAGTGAAAGCGGAGAGGGTTGGTTGATCTCGGGTGGGTCAAACCGTGGCTGGCCTGCTGTGGCATCTGACGATCGTCTAAGCAAATTTTTCCCAATTACCGAAGACGTGGGTTCAAGGAACGGGCTAGGCTGTGCGTCCGAACGCCACTGGGAGACAAATGGTCTTGTGTACATTTCATTGGGTTAGCGCAACAGGTTGCGCTGAATGCAACACAATCTTTTGAAAAATAGTACTTGTCAGTCAATAATGTACTCTACATCATTTACTGGAACTACCTCCAGACCGAGCACAAGTCATTAAATTGCTTCAATGCTGAGGCTATGTGGTTTTCGGTGTCTTCTGTAGACTCAAGTATTCAGCCGTGGCACAGGCATTACCTTCAGGTCCTCCTCGGGGTTTCGTCTGCACGTGGAGAGGGAGGCGGCGGTGAGCCAGACGTGGTGGCGCCTGGGCGAGTGGCCCGCCGAGGTGGCGCCGGCGGTGGGCGTCGTGGCGGCCGAGTGCGACCCACTCCGCCGGACACACCACTCATCCTCCGTGGACGCGTCCTCCGAGGTGAGTTCGATGTTGGAATTAGAGACGCACATTTTGCCAGCCACCTGGTCGCTAGAGACGTCCCGAGGGTCGATGGGTTGGGTGCGACGTCGCAAACTCGACCGGGCCTTCTCCAAACTGCGGCCCATACGACGCCAGCGCCGTCGAACGGCAAGTGCAGCGTTCGCTAGTATTGCCTTCGCCGCAGCAGAATTAGCTCCTCAAAGGGCCAAACGTTAGATAGATTTGAAACGGTCTACCTACCGGTGCGCAACCAGATTATTAAACGTACTAAATGCAAGGGTTAAGTGATGTGAATCTAGCCGACAATTTGGAAACTTAGGATACACAAATGACATGTCGTTTAGCAAATAATTAATTTTTTTAGTTTGAAACATCGTAGGGAAGATGGGGAGCGCGAAAAAACCCGTGAAGTGGAGTATGTGGCACAGCGGGTCACAAAGACACCATCGGTAATCCCCGTGAAGCATACAGCAGTTTCTCATGGCGTCTAACATCGCGTGAGGAAAAGATAGGCGTGAATGTACCATGCCAAACGTAAAATCACCTCAATTGTACAAAAATCGTCAGAAAATGAATGCGAGGGGTTATTGGTGAAACTTTCCGACCGATGGCCTTTTTATTTTACGATGACTAAGAAGGGGGAAATGCACGAAAACAACTTGAAACACAGGTGGAAATAAAATAGGAATAAGCTAGGCACGAAGAACAAGTAGCAGAACTGTTTTGCTAAGCAAAATAAGAATGAAATAATAATAATAGTACTAATTTTAAAGCGATTCTAAAAGAGAAAAATTTAGGATTAAAAACTGGGTTATGAAGAAACAAATGTCCAAGATATCATAGAACAGTAAAGTAATGATAAAACACAACGACTGGTACCTTTGAAGAGCCCTTGTTTCTTTTCGCCGCCGCAGTCTTTAATGACATCGTCATCAGTACACAGCTCATTGTTAAATGAATTGCACTTTGCCCACTCATCCATACGACCTTGAACTTCATGTAGACGAGTGAAAAATATGTCCTTCACCTCCTGCTCGTAGTCAAGTTCTTCCCTAGTAGCCAGTTCCTGCACAAGACGGGCTGAGTGGTGGCGAATACAGGCATCTAGCTCATCCACTAGTGAGTTCAACTGCGTAATTGACATTTGCTTCAGAACTATTCAAGTCAAAATTATTGTACCCACATCATTAATCAAACCTGAAACCGATTTCCAGACATATGCTGACCTGTACTCTGCAGTGGCCTGCGGGTCGCAGAGGTCAAGATCGAGCTCTGTTTCGTCATCAATCATGAGCCGGTCAATTTCTTCAATGATTTCATCCGCGGTCTGGACGCAGTCATCGGGAAGTTGGGATGTGATAATCGAATGGTGGTCCAGAGCTTTCGCCAACTCTTCGTCCTCTAGGACGTCAAACAAATCGTCCCGATGAGCGCTGGCACATGGATCCACATGGGGCAAATTGAGTATTTCAATGAATTCGGAGAAGGCGAAGGATGTGTAGTAGTTAAAGTTGGAGCTAAGTTCCTTTTGTGTCAGTGTCTCCCATATCTCAGGCTAGTTTTGGATATTTTCAACAAATTTAAAAGAACCAACCTGTACATCCAACTTCGGAAATTGCGTTGCGGAATCCGAAAGCCTCATGAGTACAACAACAGGAGTCCGCCTTGGATATTTATAAGGTCTACAAAACCCATTAAACTTAACAAATCAGGTGTTTAAAAGTCCACAATTGATATAAAAAATATCCTAAGTAAAAGAAATCAATTTTGGTTTCTATTTACAACGATATAAATCGAAGGTAAAAATATTTCGCTCAAAAGGCCTAGTGAGTACAGAAAACAGAATGGCATAAGAGAAAACAGGTGTCCTGGGCACACATCATCACGCGCGATATGGTAAAAATGACTTTTTTATTATCATAAATGGGTCCTTTAAGATTCCATTCGTTGTCTCAGAGTAAGTCGAAGACAGTTTGGTAATGTACTAATACGAGTGAAATATATGCTCAAATACACATAATATGAAAGAAGTTTCAACAAGTCAAAAGGACATCACACTTCATGTTCTATTTCTCGACATTGTCCCTGAATATACATATATGTCAGGCAATATTGCTCACATCACGTCATAAACTCAGTCAAACGTAGCAAAAAGGACAGAGATCAGCGCATATTAAAAAATTAATGCGGCAGTTATTAACAAGAATATTATAAATCCGATTGGAAAAATCTTTAAGCACTGCAGAAACAAATATACAGCATCCAGTTCTGCCAAGAGCAAAAAGACGACGCACATCAAAGAACGGTAAACTTGGGAAAAAATACCATT